GCTTTGTGCATGAGTTAGTTTTAATCTAAATTGACTGAGAGTGAGTATGATGATGATTTAAAATACTTGGAAAGAATTTTTGAAGTATAAAATTGAGTTTTTGAGAACTAACTCAAAACAATCGATTATCATTAAATGTAATCGATTATTCCAGCAACAGGTGAAAAGAACCTTGCAGCGCGGAGTGACCCGGACACGCGCTAGGCCCAAAAAAACCCTAATACACACTAAGGTACGTGCATTATTTATACGAGACTCATACTCATACAAATCCTAACTTTAGCATCGGAGTCTCTTTTGCAGGAACCACCCCCATCTTGGAACATCAAGCGTACCAGCAAAGGAGGCTCACCGATCTTACCCAGTGGATCATCCCTACCTCGGATTCCCAGTAAGAACAGAAATGAAAGGAGGAAAGGCTAGAAGTGAGGAGGGAAAATGCGACCCCTAAGTTTAAAACACTTGCTCCCGACAGGAATAGGGGCACATTAAATAAGGCTCATAATGACAAGGTGCGTCCTATCATTATGAGCCGTCACTCTTTATTACAGCCGCCAACGTTTCGAGAAACAAGGCGACCTTCTGAAAACATGTGGTGTTCAACTTGAAACACAGAAACAAAAGGTCATGACCCCTCGCCCAGTCATCTCCAACTCGGCATGAACTCCTCGCCCAAAGAGCTCGAAGCTTAGGTGGCTAGTGTACTGCCCGTACCAAATACCGAGTTTCACACCAGCCCTAATTGTGCTACCACATACGCGGGCCCATACTCAATAGGGCCTGCGGCCAATGTTAGGCCGACTTCAAACCTACTCTCTCCCAAAGAGAGAAAACTCTAAATTCACCAAGGTACGTCTGCTATAAATACGAGACATCTACACTATCAAGAACTAACTTTAGCATCAGAGTCTCTTTTACAGGTACCACCCCCACCTCGGGACGACCGACATACCCAGGAGAATAGGCTCACCGAACTCATCAGAGTGATCGCCCCTCAGGCCGACCTTAGGTGAGAACAGAAACAATTATAAAATTATTAAGAATTCCACCGGAACTATTCTCCACCCATTCCTCCATGTGACTCTACACATAAATCTCCCCTTTTCCCCTATACCAGGTTACGTTAATCAGAATACTCAATGTAATGGAAGTCGTTCCTGATCTCTTTCTGGGTGCTCCTCCTCAAAGCTCTTTGTTTCTCCTCTTTTTCTCCTTTTTTTCTTTCCTAACCCTTCAAAACGCAAATGAGGCAGATAGGGTTAACTCTACCTAACCCCTTTCTTAAAATTAATCCATTGGGTTGGGTCAACCCAACCCTTTTTTCTTCTCTTCTGACCCACTTCTCTTTTTTCCAAAATAATTAAATAAAATAAATACATGTATATCATAAAATATTTTTCCTCTACAATAATAATAACCTTTTTTGAAAAATGGGGTGTTACAAGTCCAACTTGTGGAAAGTTGACCCTTGAAGTGGATCCTTGAAGTGGATACTATGTTGTTTCTCCTCTAGGATTTTGCTAGTACCATGTATGAGCAAGGTCGAGATACACGTGTATGAAGCGACCATTGTATAGGGGTCAACTCAAACTATACTGATTATAAGTGACTAACCGAGTAAAGTATGAAGTCAGGAACTTGGTTCCTGATCGAGTATTAGAAAGGCATAGTATTTGGAGGATAGTCGGTAGGCTAATCCCATTAAAGACTTAGTTAAGCTAGCTAATCTTGTAGTAGGCCCATACACAACTATTCTACCTTGATAGTAGTACTAGACTTCCTTGTTTAAGTGATAACATCTGAGAAACCAAGTTGTTGTCTTGTGAATTGATATCCAATTTGATGTTGATCTAGCAAGCCCAAAAATATCACCATGTGTTGTTGTTCGATAGTGTCAAGCCACTTAAAAATGCTCACCCTGTGTTGTAGGAGATCTTCTAGTTGAAATGTGTGACGATGCATATAGTTGTTGTGTTGAGCATATAATGTGTTGAGTTGATAGTGTTGTTCATTTATTGTGTTGATATATGATGAAATGTGTTGCTGTGTTGATTTATGTTGTATAATGTGATGCCTTGTTATTGTGTTGTTAAAGATGAGATGATGAAGTGATGTTCCTGTGTGGTATATATGTTGTTTCTTTTTTACTCTAGCTTACCTTTGTGTGTTTCCATGTAGTGTGGATTGTGATGATCATACATGATATAAGAGCAAGGTAGGGATAGGACTAAAGCAATGTTGTGGAGGACATTTAGTGGTGCATGAGTTGGAGGATATTTTGTTGATTGCCTGAAGAGTATTGATGTATATATGTAGCAGTAGTTTCTTGACTGACAACTTAGAATGTATAGTTTACATTTACTAGATTACTGTATTCATATTGCACATATTACTTAATTGATCACCTTTACATATATGTAGTACAACATTATATCTATAATTTTATAGTCTTGAGTTAGATTTTTTCATTGCTAGTAGTTGTGTTGTACAGGATAGGGATCAAGGTGGGTCGTTACAAACTACCCAAGTATTCTTTTAACAAGCCTTAACAACCAAGTATATTTTTTTATTGTTAAGCCTCTTCAAGTTCAAAACAATTTTGTTTTTACAAACAAACCTCTCTAGGCTCAATCTTATAACAATGGTTATGAAGGTTACACAAGTGTTGTATTTGTCTCACTTAGACGTTATACAACCAATATAGAGTTGTAAGTTTTTTACAAGAAAGAATAAGTATAATTTACAGAGAACGTTTCTTTCTATACAAGTCTTTTATGTATATTGCACATCTCTTATGTATATCTTTCTATAAATTCTTTCTCAGAATAATTAAGTAGTTGCTTGAAGAAACAAGTTAAAGACTACTTAGGATTGAACTAGAGGTGACTTGGTAAAAGAATACTTGTAACTTTGTTGAAAGTTAATGGAACTCAATTTGGTTGGGTTGAGAACTAGACATAGTCTTAGTGATTGAGATGAACCGGTATAAAAATCTCTAGTGTTTCATTTGTCTCTTCCTCAATCTCTAGTGTTTGACTCTTCTTCGATGATTTGTTTCATAAATTATTTTCTTTTTCACTGTATAAAATGTGAGTTTTTAATACACATTATTCAACCTCCCATTTTAGTGCATCTTTTCTCCACTTCAACTCAAACCTCTAAAATATTTTTAAAGACTTTACTTCGCTGAGAAGACTTTTAAAAATTCTTTTAGATTCTTATCTATTTCAATTTTTATTTATCCTAATTATTTTAAATTAAATTTAAATATTCTTAAAATAAATTATCAATAAATAAAATAATATTATGTTATAATATAAATTATTTATCATAAATCTTAAATATAATTTATATATTTAAAAATATCTATTCATATAAATTTTAAATATAATTTATATATTAAAACATAATATTTATTTTTATATTTGATTTATTATAAAATTTAGTATATATAATAAGAGTTAATCACCTTTATACTAGCAACCAATCATATGTTTAAATAGTATCATGTCAGTTGCTTATTTAATGAAATAAAAATAAAATAAAATAATTTAAAAGATTTGATTGGTCGCCAGCGTAAAAAACTTTACACGGATAGTGTATGGATGATTAACTCATATAATAAATATTTATCTGTATTGCACATACTAAAATTAAAATATTAGTTAAACATAAAACCCATAATATATTCTTGTTATGATTGAAGACATGAGTATAAATAAGTAGGAGTAGGAATATTAAAAATATTATATTAAATGAAAGCGAAACAAAACTATATTTTAGTTCAATTTTATAAAACTAAACTACTATAGTTTAGTGCAGGATAGTTATTGAACTAATCTTTTCTTTTTTAATTTAATTTATAAATTTGAATTGTCATTTTGTTAATTGAGTACATTGTTGTAAAACTAAACTGTTTTTTTTAATAAAATTTTAGTACAATAAATATTATTCACCTTATATCTATAGTTTATATTATTTTTTTTTTCAATTTTATTCTTTTCATTTCTTTTAAATATTTGTTTATTTTTGTTATGATACTCAATGAAATTATTAATTTCTCAACTTACTAACTAAAGGAAAATGTTGCAATGCTGCATACATAGTGATCATACTCATACCTACCATCACAATCCCACAGTACCAGAATCCTACATGCATTAAGAAATGTAATCATTGGTCATAACATACCTCACTTTTCTCCAAATAAGCTTTCACAACATTGTTAACTTATTTGAGCCCATAGAGAAAACATGACAAAATATAATTACTCCATCTTCCAGAAGATATTGTAGTCTATTTTGCATGAAACAATGTTGTCAAATCAACATAATTCAACATTCACCCATTGTTTGATAGTCCTAGAGTGAGTCCTCATATGGATCAAAGTTGTAGGTTTGACTATAAACTTTCATGTGTTATATGGGCCTCACACTGATTAAGGGGCCTGCAAGTTGTATTTCATTCATTAAAATTTTTAGGTTTAAATATAAACTTTCATGTGTATGGGCACTGGTTATATTCTTGTAAGAATCAATGGGCCTGCAAGCTGTAATCCATTCATTAAAATCATTAGACACACAATGAATGACTCAATTTGAAGAAAGTAAACCAATTTTATACACAAATCCAAAGTTTGGATGAGAAAAAAATTCAAACCAACTCAAACTGACCTATTTTGAAAAAACTCTGAATTGATTCATTCTGTAAAATTAGTTCTAAAATTAGTTCAATTATCTAATCCAATTATTCCATTAATCGATTTAATTTAAATATTTTAAAAATTCAATCTATATGAGTATAAAATGAATAAGCCTCTCACACTCATCCAATTTCAAGAAAATCAATTTATAGTTTTTTAAAAAAACGAACCCATAAATCAAACAACAAAATACCCACAAAATAGATCGATCCAATTTAAATTTCTTAGAAAACCTGATTTATAAACTTCCTACACTTAACACCAAAAAAAACAAGAGAGTGTAGACGATCCAAATAAAAAATGTAAGGTGGAATTAGTAGACAAACAGCATTAAAAATCCGTTCATCTGTGGATCCACCTCGGCAGTTGTCTGGCTGCCTGCTGACTAAACAGCTCTCACTTTCCGCACCATTGTTCAAAGTCCGCTCCACATAATCAGAGAGACCCACAACAATACAAAGTGCGTCTTCAACCCCAAAACACACTTCAACTAACGCTAATAACATCATTGGCAAAACCATTAACCTTATGATCCCTGAAGATGCAAAATGCTTCAAAAGAAAATTAAAAAAATAAACGAAAATGGGTTCAACGAATAAATAATAAATTGGGTTTTGCCCCAATTTCGATTTTCAACCAAAAGTGAAAAATTGCATAAAAGCATGGAATGGTAGAGGATTGTGATTGTGACTATTCTGAATTCAATTGCCGCTGCTCTATCTAGGGTTGTGAATGTGGGGAATTTAGATTCGAGAATGTATATATAGCGAGTGGAGCCGCACCCATGGTTTACATTTGGGCATTTAGCTCCCTTTTCTATAACAAACCCTAGTTGTTATTGGGCTTTTACTTTTTTGAAAAAAAAAATGTATGGATTCTTTTGATTGAGAAGATGTTTTCTAGTTGGCTCACGATATATCTCTTTTTTTTTTTTTTTTTTTATAAGTATACCTCCTTTTTAATTTTTTTATTATAAAATATTATAATTTTAAAAAAAAAAATTAATTTTATACTTTTAACTTTTAATTTGTTACTTTCTTCTTCTTATTCACACACTTTTTTTTTCTCTCTCAATTTTCATATGTTATCAAAATAAGTGGAGTGAAGGAAAAATAAGGGGTACATGTAAAAATTGAAAAAAGAAAGAAAGATGCGTGAAAAAAAGTACTAAATTAAATGTTGTGGATGTAAAATTAAAAAATTTAAAACAAAAAATTAAAAATATTTTAAATTTTAGTTATTTTTTTTAAAAAGAGGTGTACTTATAGAAAAAAGAAGGTGTATATATCATGAACCTTTCTAGTTTTGATTTTGTTGTAAAACTATTGTTTTATTTTCATTTTCCTATATTTAAAAGTTTGTAAACGAATTAGTGCAAATAGAAAATCAAAATCAAAATAAAAAACAATAAAGGTTATTTTTATTACTTTAATGAGAAAATATAAATAAAAATATTCTCTCTAATCAAATAACTACTCTTTTAAGGCTTAATCTTGCAAAATGAACAAATTTTGATCTTAGTTCTTAAAAAAATTATTATTTTTTATCCCTCTAAAATTTAGAATTATTATTTATAGTCTTTATTATTACATAATTATTTTTAATTACTTATTTGTTTATTTAAATGTCAAATGACTATCTTAGGTATTACGTACAACTATATTTTTTAAAAGACTTAAAATTGATAGTGATATTATATTATTGTGAGACATCTCTGTTAGTCAAGTAGCCTCGTATAACTTAAGAGGGGAGGGTGAATTAAGTTATCTAATTTTTTCTTCTCTTTATAAGTTTTTCTAACTTCTTTCTTATAAATTCAATATCATAAACAAATTGAATGTAATGATGCAAAAACTACACAATCAAAATTAAAAGTATAGGGAAAAAGAATTGCAAACTTGATTTTATACTGGTTCGGCCAACCTTGCCTACATCCAGTCCTCAAGTCTCCCACTTGAGATTTTTCACTATGCTTGTAACTTTTACAAGACTCAAATTCTCCAACACTTAGGAATTCCCTTTCCTCGTGTTGAGAATCACACACCACCAAGGAGAACAACACTTTCTCCTTTACAGATCAATAGATGAATTGAATGAAGTAGAACAACTCTCTTTTAAGAGTGGATTTTACACTTTTAGATTTAGTAGAACTCTTTAGATAATTTTTGAAAATGATTTTGGCCAAGTGATATATAAAGATAATTTTTCACAATAGAGTTCGTAACCTTTTTCTGAAAAATTATTGGTATTTATAAATGATTGTTTCTTAGGTTATGACTTTTCATGAAGAGTTGTGCCTTTCTAAAATTTTCCAGAAAATAGGCTCTAGTAATCGATTACAAGACTTGGTAATTAATTACAACGGTTTAATTTCAAAATGTTTGGAACGTTGTAAAATTTAAATTCAAATTTTGAAATTTTTATCTTCTGGTAATCGATTACAGGGAATGGGTAATCGATTACCAGAGCACGTTTTAATAAGTAAATTTTGAACATATGAGTTTCATCCTCTGGTAATCAATTACATGTACTAGTAATCGATTACCAGACTCTTAAAACAATAATTACTTTATTAAAACTTAAAATTTAGAAACTTCTATTTTCAAAACCTTATTAATATAAAAGATTATATTTGGGTTTTCTTGAAATTCTTTATTTTAAATGGCCAAGAATCTTATGCAACATTTCTAAAGATTTCTTTTTACATATAAAGCTAGGTTGACAAGACTTATCTAAAATACTTTGAGATTTTTGTTTCTTGATCACCTTGCTTTAACTTGACCTCTTGTTTTCTACAATTTCTTTGGCATCATCAAAATCCTTTACATACGTTCTTCCACATTCTCCCCCTTTTTGATGATGACAACATACTGTAGATGGAAAGAAACATAAAATAGTGTATATCGATCACTCCCCCTTAGTCTCCCCCTTAATAAATCATTGTTTGATGTTAATTTTATTTTTAAAAAAAATTTGAATTCAAATAGACAGTTGTAGTGATCAGATTAAATTGTTCAAATCAAAATATCCAATTTTTGATCAGGAATAAATTATCCCTTTTTCTTCTTTCCTTTCCTCTCCCCCTTTGGCAACATCAAAAGGAATGAGATAATAAATAAAAAAAATAGAATAAGATAAACAAACACCACTCAGAACAGAAGTGAAATACATCCTAATAGCAAAATAGTCAGAGTCAAAGGTGCAGAATTATCCTAGATTAGCAAAATATGTCCTAATCAAAAAGTTCAGAAATTGATTAAAAATAGTCCAAAACATAAGAAAAACTAAAAGAACAACTATCAAAATCTCAGTCAACTAGCTACTCGGAAGGGTTGCGAAGAGATTTTACTTCCTCCTCAAGACGAGTCATGCGAGTGTCAAGAGAATCAAAACGTTCACCAACATAAAAACGAAGATCTCGAATTTCATTGAGAACATCCGAGAGAAGTGCTGATGAAGGATCTTGAGGAGGTGGCGACGGGGTTCTATCATCAGTCTCAACTGCTTGAAAATCCCGCTTCCTGACCCAGGTGTTTTCCTCCAGCTCCACAAAAGAAACAACCATTTCCTTCAGATTCATTTGATTTCTTTTTTTGTTTCCTTTGAGTTGCTGTAACTGCAACTTCCTTATCCTTTTTCCTTTTTAGTCCCTTGCCCTTATACTTTGAGGTAAAGGCAATATGAGCACTTTCTGTCTTATCTAGCTTCAATCTTTCTTCTTCCTGAACACAATGTGAGATGAGCTCATTTAGAGGCCAAGTCTCTTTTTGAAAATTATAGCTCACCTTAAACTGACCAAATTGTGTTGGAAGAGAAATCTGAACTAAATGCACCAACAAGTCCTCAGAGAGTTCTAACTTAAGTGCTTTTAGTTTTGAAGCAATATGAGACATCTCCATGATGTACTCCCTAATGTTTCTTTTACCCATATACTTTTTTGAAATTAGGTTTACCAAAAGTGTACCTAGGGATGGCAATGGGGCCCCATGGGGGCGGGTAATAGTAAACCCGCCTCCGCCCCGCTGAATGAAAATTGGCCCCATACCCACCCCATATCCGCGCGGGTATCCATTAAACAGGTATCCATGAATTTCTTGAATACCCACGGATATCCACAGATATCCATGGATATTTATAAAATTTTTAAGAAATTAAAAAAATTATATTACAAATAATTTTAAGTTTATATTTTAATGTCATTAAAATATTAAAAATAAAAATTCAATATTAATTTTGAACTTTTATTTAACGTTAATTTTGTTGAAATAATAATAAAAATTCAAGATAATCAATAACTTAAAATACATCAATCTCACAAGT